TTTTTAATATAAATAAATAAAAGTCTTCTAAGCAGGCATCTGGGAAAGTTTCAATATGGGTCTGGTCGATAGATAATAATCTATAAAAATATCTACATTGAGGTCCCTTATGAATTCAATTCAATTCAATTGTTATGAGTTGAAGATTATCTCCCCCAGTGCTCTAGAGAACTTCTCTTATGCAGAAGTAGTTTAAAGCTTTTCTTTACTTGAAATAGTTTTGGATAGTTTTTTTCTTTTTCCTTTTTTTTCATTTATGTGTTTAGAGCTGGTTTTGTGCTTTGCAGCTCTCTATTTTATGTGACAGAAGTTTTTTTCTTTTCTTTTGCATGTGTTTTTTGTCTAATTTTGTGTTTTCTAGTAAAATGTTTGTGTTGGAAGGCTGTTTTTTGTGATAGCAGGACTTTTTTTAAATTTGTTGTGAAAATATGTATTTGCAAACCTTTTGCATTCTTTAGCCACCGTACTGTATGGGTGCCTTAAATAAGGAATACTATTTTTTACCAGGCAAAGATAGGAAAGCCAACTGACAGTATGCTCAAAACAATTGCACCTAGATTCAGTTTGTAGACTAATTTTTTTACCCTATTGTAAGAACAATTTAACATCTTTCTTTTCATAGTATAGATTACTTTTTTATCAAAGGGTTAAAGAACATAATGCTAATAGCTTGTTAAAATATTGTAAGATAATTTTATTTTTGTGAATAAAAGTAAACTAAGAAATATAACTGAATACAGTGGTTTCTTGGTAACTTAAGTTCTCTTTTTTTTACTAGTACAATGTTAAAATTGGAGTAGTTTCTCTTTTGATTGCATGCGACTATACAATCTGATGAAAGCTGGGAAGAAAAAAAACACTTACCCGAGGTTAATTCTTTCTACAGCTGGTGGGAAGTGGTCAGGTACTGCAGTCAGATATTTGAAGGTGCAGTGCACTTCATTGGGGATATTACACACACACGATTTTGGGCAGTCAGCACACGACAGCTGCATAGCAGCAAGCAACAACAGAGCCTTTAGTAACCAACCCCGAAGGTAGAAAACATTGCATTCACACACACTCATGATGCATGGGGCTGTCATGTAGATGGGGCTTTAGTAAGGGGGTTACTGCCCTTGGACCTGATCGGGACCTGAAATCCACCTGAAGAGGGAGAGAGAAGTGTTGCAACTTTAGACAAATACTCCTAAAAGAAAGCTATCATTATAAGTAATTGGTGTTAGAGTATGGAGTGGACAACTTATGCCAAAACATTCATACATTTACCATGATTTAAAGTTGAAGAAATATAATGTTGCAACTAAAATATGAAGTAAAAGCTATATGACAGAAAGAACCACACAAAAAACAACATTGTGTTTATATTGATTTAGCTTACACAGTCAACTCTTATGTTAGTATTAGCATGTTTCGTGTCTAAGACTCATTTTTATATTTAGCTTATCCTGATGTTTTTTCTCTGCAACAACACAGGTTTCAGTGACAATATATTGGAGAAACATTTGCTATTTTTATGGAAAGTACATACCACAGAGATAATGCTCTCAATCAGTAATAAAAGGTCCAATATTAACAACCAGTTATGAAACTAGTCTGCTAAGGAATATTTATAAATATTAGCATATAAAAAAATTACTCCAGAGATTTGCAGAGACGTCTTCAAAACAAATATAAGCATGCAAAAACCTTTACTAGTATTGAGTTTTTCTCACCTTAGTTTAGCAAAGCTGATGAAACAATTTCAAAAGTTAAGGGGTAAAAATCCTCATAGACATATTTAAGGTCCTCTTATAAATCCAGTAGTTTTTTCGGGTTAAGTCTCCTGTGTCTGAAGAACAAATCTGATACTAGTAATTTTTGTGTAAGCGTCTGCAGCTGAGTGCACACTTCAGTCTCCTCCACCCCCAGTATTATCTGCTGTAATGGAATCCTAGAGCAACTCCAGCACTGAAACACTCCAGGAGTCAGGTTGCACAAAATACGCACCATCTGATACACTGGGAAAGACTCAAAAACACTTAATTTTTACCACCTTGATATATTGCAGACATAAATGTCACTGATGCAAGGATACTTTAAAATCTCCTTTTAGCAATTAGGTTTTGAAAGAAGGCAGAAAAAAATAGCCTACCTTTCTTAAATATGTTATATATATCAATTAAGGAATTTGATTCAGGTGTGGTGGGTCAACGACAAATCTAATAGTGCATTCACACCAAATGCAAAACTAGCAAAAATAATTAATATTTTTCGATAATTTTGCTTGCCTGACCTTCTGCAATAAATTCACCTGATGAGCAACAGACATTTGGACGGTGGGAATATTCACATGATGGGTGAAAGGCAGTACAGTAATGCTGCTTGCTGTCTCACCTTAACATGGCAGACCTGAATTTTACTGGGCTAGTTGTGGTACTTCATGTACTTTGGAAAGCTGAACAAAGCCAACAGCACTGGCATTCCTGAATCCAACAGGTCCTCCATACATGCTCCCACTTCGGGGAGTCAAGGAGCTGAGGCTGAATCGCAGTGGCTTTCTGTGAGGCTTAAGGTGAGGTGAGATGGCGTTTTGGAGCTCATAAAGGAGCAATGGGAAATCAGAGGAAAAAAAACAGCAGACAGACACCAGAACGGGGGCAAGGAAGCCAGCCATGCCCCCTTCTGTAGCTGAGGAACCACAGCAACATATCAAAGGAGGACAGAGGAAGCGATGACAGTGGCTAGTTTGTGTATTAGCTGGAGCTAAAGGAGGATGACAAATGAATGATTTAACTGTCATTTGGAGCTAATTTAAAGCCACCTAAAAACCTCTGAAGAGTATGTCAGCTATTGTCAACATTATTTTCTCTGCTTGTTTCCGCTGCACTCCTTCACTACAACTAAACCACATCTCCTCCCTGCCGAGGTACAAAAATGTTCAGATTTTTCAACTCCTGTGTAATTGGTTTTGCCCTCTTCCCTTGCTGTAATTAACATGAAAAGAGCATTACACCTCTAGTGAGGCAAAAGGCTAGCCTAGTAAACCAGCCCCACCTCCCAGCAGCAAAAATGATTTTTGCCTGCGAGTTAGGTCTAGCCTCGATCAATGCCCCAGGCCCTAGAACTGGCGGGCCACTAATCATTTTTGGATGCAAAGTGGGCGGGGTTTTGAGGGCGTGACGACAAAGCTGTGTGACGCTGAAGAAAGCACAACAAGGAAGATGGTAACAACTATTGAACAGTAGCATGCACTGCGGCAGCAGCAGCTTTCAATGAAAGCTAATTTTTTTTTTTCTGTTGCTATTGTTCAATGAAAGTACGTTTTAAGATCATTTGAGGCGAGAATATTATGCATTAAAGAGCCTCTATATTGTCCATTTAACGATTTAATGTGTAATTAAAAAAACTATTTTGAGAGGACCGCGGCAACCAGCAGATCTCCAAGGCTATTGGCAGCCAGGGCTAACTGCAGCCAGTCTGCAGCGGCCCCCTCTTGGCATAATCGTGTGTGAAGGACAGCTGGCTCTTATGGCGATTTTAGACTCAGGTTTGGAATCAGTTGAGGAAGGATTAGACTTGGGGTTTTCGTTGAAACGTGAACAGGAAGACGTTCTACACTCATTCATTTTTTAAGAAGGACGTATTCGCCATTTTACCGACAGGCTGTTTGTTTACACTCACCCACCAGCTTTCTGTCACACTTACTACTTCATAGTCAGTTGTGCTCATTGGTCAGAGCGTTGGCCAATAGGCACAGACATGGTTTGAAAAACAACGGGTTGTTCTCATCAACAATCTTCCGATGTCTCATTCTTCAAGGCCAGACTAAATTACACCTTTAATCTCACATTTAGACTGGTTTATCAGGCTAGCAAAATGCACTAACTGATGCCTTCTATTAAGCCGCCCTTTGAATAAAGCGTCATTCATTCACTCCAGGTGTAAAATGCACATTTGGGTGTGAATGAACCTTAAAAGTTGCAGGAAACAGGCCCTCAGGCCCTGGAATTGCCCACCCCTAATAGATGATCCTGGTCTCCAAGGATAACAAGTTATTGACAGCTCTTCATGCACAGTCTGCTATTTTTACTTACTGCAGACCTAAAAATTGCTTTACTTACTTTACCTACTGATTTACAATAGACTTTTGATTGCTCATTTTTGTATTTATTACTGTATCCACAGAAAGAGCCTCCTTTGCACATGCTTTGCTGAGATTCTCCATAACCTAACTTAAGATCAGTGAAAGCTTTCTATTAAAACAGCTGAAGTTTCTTTCTTGTAAAATGAAAAAAAAAAATTTGCATCTAAAAGAATATAATAGCTAATCTAGAAGTGTAGCAAGAATGGAAAGGAAAAAAAGCATATTTAGAATATCAAAAATTAAAACCATTATAACCAAAGAAAACCCAAATCCATTGGATTATAACACATGGGCTATACATGTTTAATCTGCCCAAATCACAGAGTCATAGTTTCAAACAAGAATTGTTTTTGTTTTGTTTGATTCGCATTATTTATTTTTTACTTTTCCCTTAAAGGACAAATGTATTTTATGATGATGTCATTGATAACGGCACATGTGCATTCCAGGTTCCACCATAAAAAATGTGTGTATTTTAATTATTCTCAACTCTATTTACTGTTCCTGTTAGTTAACAAAGGTCTGGATTAAATAATACATTCAGCCGACTGATCTTAATTAATCTGATCTTAATTATTTCTTTAAGTATTTTCATCTTTCTTATAAAAACAGCTATCAAATATCTTGCCAACATCTGGTAAAGTCAACATGTGCTGCTTTGACTTCTGGATCTGGGTTGTATCTGGCAAATGTGCTCACTGAAAAAGCATAACTATCTGATGTTTACTTAAACATCTGGACACCACACCGACACATGTTGACAATGACACTTTTCTTCTCATTGCCAGTACTGTCACTGCTGTGGAAAACTCTTGATCTTATGATCCGGTCCAAGTGTGTGCTGGAAGGACCTAAACACTAAAAACAAGCAAAAAAAAATATTGATAATATTTAGATTTGTTCAATTTTTTTTTTTTTTTGTTTAATCATTTGGGCTCCCTTATTTGATATATTTTGGTTTCATTACACCATTTGAAGATGATAAAATGTATGCTGCAGAGTGTAAACAGCACCTGTGATATCATTGTTATTCTGCAACAAACAGAGATTAATAAACTAAGAACAATCGGAATGGAAAATAAAACTTTGAAACCTGTAAAGATTTTCAAAAGGTTGTGTATTAAGGCATTTTATTTGTTTACAAAATTGCAGATAGAAAGCTTGGCATTTAGTTTATGACTGCTTGAAAGTTTATTCAGATAATGTGATTTATGTTTTAATTTTAAAAATTGTAAACCTCTGTCAGTTGTGTCTTTTAAAGCTTCACATGATTTACTGTCAAGATCCTGTGCTGACTGGAGAGCCCTGCACATATTTTATGACTAATCTTATGCAAACATTACTTAATTAAATTACAATATACAGGGCATTTTTATTCGAGTCATTGTAAGTTTAATCTGCTAATAGAGCAGAATTTTCTTTGAGGCAAACATATGTGATAACGTCTTGAAACAAGTTATTGGCATAGTTAGCTTAAGCCTCATTAAATGGGAAATTACAGTGATAAGAGTCATAGGGGCTTCAGGAAAAAAGGTGGTGGAATAATGTTAGCTTCACTGGGTTTTAAGATTGCCTATGTGAAACTTCATTGCCAGGTGGTTTAAACTTAATCTTTTTTGTATGCAATTCTGCTCACTAAAAAATTCAACTCCTATCCAAATGTTTCTGGCTAAACTACTGTTGTAATTTTTTATCTTAATGTGCTCCAGATGATTTATTTAAATAGTTCAAGATACAGTATCTAAAATGCCACTTGTTTTTGAAACAGACATCTCAGATTCTGTTTGTTAATTCTAAATATCTATATGCATTTTATTCCATCTTTTAATTTCCTAAAAGCATTTATCATGATTCCTTCACAATAATATTTTGGCCTCCATTTCACACTAATTAAAGCCATGCTGAAGTCCAACATGCACTAGAAACAGGTCCAAAAGAGTGCCAGAAATGCAGACCAGACTCCTACTCTGCTTGTATAGTGATCAGATGGCACCTAGTGAAGGGCAACAGACTCAACATTGCTGGAGCGCCCCCTAGAGGTCACCATAAGGGACATAGTAAAGGCCTTTGTCAGGTCCACAAGATGTGTTCCAACTCTAGCTTATGAAGAGGAACCACCACCCTGGTCTGTCACTCAAGAGGCACTGTTCCCAACCACTAAACAACATTAAAGATGTTTTTTAACCAAGACAGCCTCAGGACATTCAGACATGGGGCACTTAGGCCAGATTTCTACTTCTACTAGGAAATGTATCAAAGCTGGGTTGAAGAGATCCTTAAAGCATTTCTATAGATCTTCTGATAACGTCCTCAGTCCTGTTCAGCAGCAGCCCGCTCTTACTGTAAATAGTCTTACAAATCACTCCTTTCCTCTTAGGAGATGTAAGAGAGTTTGCTGGAATCTCTTTGATGCCAACCAACAGTCTTTTTACCTAAATTTTTAACTCTTCAACAGCTACAGGTGGCTGTATTGACAGTAGAGGCAGAGAACATGGTTCCCACAGACTATATGTCCTCAGCCTACATCATAATCCCAGAGCAGCTGTCCTGTAGGTAAGAGCTGAAAATGTCCCTGACCGAGGGGTTCGTAAGATGTTCCAGCAGAAACCTTACTGTTTCCGAGACATGTGGTCAAGGTCAGTGGGTAAGAAAAACTAAATTGTTAATTGACCTCCAGCCCTGGGTGTCCTGGTGTCAAATGCACTTGTTTAACAGTCTTATACTTGAACATTGTGATCAGTATGGACAATCTGAG